TTTGCTTAATTTCTGCAAACTGGTAAAGCTTGTTTTACATCTCAGCATACATTTGATCTTTCTATATATTTATTTACTTTCTTCTTTATCTCTCTTCCTCTCTCTCTCTCTCTTTCTTTCTTTTTCTCTTTTTATAAAACTATGTATTCATGTGTAATTTGTCAGTAATTCAATTAACTGTGAACTTATTTGAATCTATTACCGTTAAATTAATTATTGTTCATAATTATCTCTTAATAAATTTTAGTACCTAAAGAGTAGCGAACTTAATGGATAACATTTTCAATATGATTTATAATAACAATTCAGCAATACGAATTTCATCCAACCATTCAACTGAATATTAACTTTGTTGTAGTCAGTCATCTGAATGTCCTCGGACTTATCTTCTTGTTAATTTGACAGTGAAGAAAAATTACAGCAGATGATGGCAATATTCACAGATGTTATTTTAAAGAAAGAGAAACAGTAATAAATACATCTGAATTTTAAAACTATTCATTTTTCATTTTAAAAAGTAAACATCATTCAACTGAATGTTAACTTTGTTGTAATCAGTCATCTGAATATCCTCGGACTTATCTTCTTGTTAATTTGAAATTGCATGTGCAATTTTTGGTCAGATAAATAATTCCAGTAAATTTATAATTCCAGTAGATTTATAATATTTGTTTATCACAAAGTTATTTTTTGAAAGCGATAAGATATATATGTGTATTGAAAAAGATTTATAATAAATGAACATTGTAAAATTGAATTCTATATAATTACATCGTTTAGAGATAGATTTATTTAATCCATAGGTAATTTCTTTATAAAATATTTTATTGGTTGTTGAGTGGAAGAATCATAATGGTAGCATCTGAAGTTACGCCTATATCATCAAAGATAATGACAGATGATATTTTAAATATTAAAATTTTCAACATTCATTATAAATTTTAGTTTGAATTGAATTGAAAGCAAATTTTAGTGTTACATAAGCATTGATAAAAATACACCTCTTTTTTTTCCACTCTGATTCATTTATTTCAACTTCAATTTTTCATCGATCGTTTATACAATCAATAAGAAGAAAGAATAAATCAAACAAATTCATATTTTCATATTTCATTTATCAATTAATATTATCAGCAAAATTAACGATTAATTTAATTTAATTAATTTAATTGTTTTTTTTTTCTTCTTTGAAATTTATGAAAAAAATCTTTTATATAAAGAAAAGAAAAAATTAAATTTTATAATTTCTTTGTTTTTCGTAGAAAATAAAATTCCTTAATGAATATTTTTTGTTAAAGCGAATTATTCGGCTGGCGCATTTATCGGCAAAATGTCAAATTTTTTTCAAATTGAATTGAAAGGTTAGCTCAAGTAGAAACTGATTGATGATTAATATCTCGAATACTTACCATTTCCTAAAGTAAATAAACTTTTTTAATAAAGAACAAATAGAAGAATTTGCTTTCAATACACCTATAAAGTATAATAGTGGTGAAAGAAATTTGAACACTAATTGCTATTGCAGCGATATTGATGATGCCATAATAATGATAATGATAATGATAATGATATATTTGCTAAGATTGCCATTAAAAATCTTTCAAACTATTATCCATTTGCCCGAAGATACATTTCTCTTATCATCATTTTTTATTACTCTCACTGTTATCATTATTTTCACTATTTTCACAATTACTATATTTTAATGATGTTATCATCATTCTTACAAATGTTCGTGTATTTTTTTGTTTTCATCATCAATATCCAAGCCTATGGTGGGATATTACCGCCTTATCACCTGTGGGACATCTTACCATTATCGCCTGTGGCACATTAATCAATTATTAATCCTTATATAACAGCAGTAGTATATTTTGCATCTTGTCGAGATGTGAACCTTTTCTTATCTTTATATGTTAAATTGACTTAAGTAATTAGCCAAAAAAAAAAATTAACAATGCTTCGTTGAATTTTGAATATTTAAATTTCAAAAAATTTTTATTTCAATTTCTTCAAAAATTGATAAAATAACTTTTATTTTCTTTCGATCGTTGTGTTGAAAATACAACAGCGAATAAATTCTCAGCATAATTAAGAAAGAAAATTAAAGTTATGTATTAATTGACTATAAATCGAAAAATAATGATTGCGATTTTAATGATTTTAATGATTGCGTGTTAATGATTATATTAATGATTATGTGTATTAATAATTATGTATTAATGGTTATGTATTAATTGATTATAAATTGGTTATTGGATTTGTTAAAAAAAAAGCGTCGTATGAGAAAGTTAAAATTATTTTCAAAGACGCACTAAAGATAACATTTGAAAATCATTTTGTCAACTTTATCGTTCTAGAAAAGACAATCTTAGAAAATCATTGCATTAAGAAGGTGTGCAAACAGGTAAATAATATTTACTGTATAATAATCATATCTTTTTGCTCGTATTCATTCCGAATAAAATTACAATAAAAAAGTAATCGTATTGCAGAACTTATACGTATAAAAAAGTTTTAGCTATTGTGTAAAATAATTAACGGATTAATTAATATTTATGAAATTAAAGAAATTGTGCAAAGTAATTAATGAATTAATTAATATTTATGAAATTGAAGAAATTCATTGTTGACTAATACATGCAGAAGTAGCGATCTTCAGGAATTCCGTTTTCCATTTTTATTTCAAATCCTTTTCGTCTGCCCCATCGTATGCATATTAAAATTTCAGAGTTCGAATTTTAGCAAAATACTTCGGTAAAATTGTAGTATTGCAGTAATGGAGCAAAAATTCAGGCTATTATCATAAACCATTATCATTATCATTATCATTATCATAAATCAAAATGACATTAACTTTTGCAACTTTTACAGATTTAAGCTAAAATTAATTCGTTTCATTTAAATATCATTAAAACTTTGATAAATTTCTAAATCATTTCTTTTAAAGTATAAATTTCAACTTCTAGCACTTTAATTAATTAGCAAATCTGTTCATCTTTTTTTTTTGGATGATTTTGAATTATTGTTTTGGATGTGTTTACATGGAATATTCAATCTTCATCAAAATACATTTTGCGCCATAATTAATGATTACAATTATTATTAAATGCGACGGTTGTCATTAAGTCATTGTTATTTCTTGAATTGTTGAAATATTGTAATATGAAAGTTTCGTTTTCGAACAACCGATAGAATGTAATCGAATTTAGCGATAGCTAATTTCTGTAATTCATTTTTAATGATATTAAAAGTTAGTGGAGTTAGTTAAACTGTAAAATAAACAAGTAAACAATTGTTTGTTTTTGTAAAGGAAAGAAAGTGACATTATTACGATATGAGCAATACTGTACGATTCAATTCGATTGTGAGGGGTGGAGGTGGAGGGGGTGGAAGAGAAATCGTAAGTTGCCAACTGTACGAATACCGAAATTGTGCAAATATTCGTTCTTGTCATGAATATATAGAGTAGAAAAAAAATCAATAGAATATTTTAGAGTATTGGATGAATGGAATAGGATAGAGTGGAATAAATGAAACGAATAAATATCGATCATTTCGAGGCAATAGAGGATTGGATCATTGTTGATGAGTATGGAGGTGGGGGGGGGGGTGAAAGGTCTGGAAGTGATGAATACAGCTAGGATGACAGTGAATTGAAGGATGAACAGGAATGGCGGAAACTGGTTTTTCACCGCTGCATCGCTCTTTCACTTCAATTATTTCGTCTTTCGGCTCAGAGCACGAAAAGTGTGTGCTGTTGGATATTGTATATATTCGTGGTGGATATATATATGTGTGTGTGTGTGTGTGTGTGTGGTGTGTGTGTGTAGATTCCTATTCTAACATATAGATGTGGCCTTAATTTATGGTTTTCATACTAATTAGGAGGATATTGGCATGAAATTTATGAATAAGAAAAAATGAGAGAAGGTGAAATGATTTTGAATTTATAAAAAGATTAAAAGTTTATTAATTTTAAAATAAAAGAAATTACTAAATTACCTCGTAACTAAGTTTTATTTGTTATTTATTATCATTTCTAGAATTATCGATAAAAGTTAAATGATGAGAAAACAAAAGAAATGAGATTTCTCGGGTCAAGTTATTCGGTATTAGAAGGTTAGTTTCAAAAATAAACTTCGTGATTGTAGTAGGTGGTGCGGAATATCGTACAATTTTCTTAGCTTTTGTTACCGATATTTCATCTCATTACAGTTTACCTACAGTTTACCTGTAATTTAACTTATCATTTATATTTGTAATTTCGTTGTTAAGAATGTCGTGTATATATTTTAAAGTGAAGAATATCTTCATTCATTTCTACAATTCAATATCTTATTAAAGTACACTTTCACTTGCATTCAGAAAGTAATAGATTTAATTTAATGAATTGTTTTTGATTCTTTTATTTTGGATGAAATTGCAGAACAAGAAACTACTTGCTTTCTCCTGATGATCTTAAATGATGACCTGATGATCTGAAAAATCTTAATCTTCTAATCTTGTCCTTAAATTGATTGCTATCTGTTTAAAATATTCATTGTCAACATTTAACATATCACATTCATAAGATCCGATAAAGTTTCTTTTAAGAATTTCTCAGGAAAAAAAAACGCAAAATCGATCATGCCATCCTAAGAAGTGTCACAGGGGTCAATAGTCTTCTAAATTGTGTTGTCAGAGTAGCCTTCTGAACCTTCTTGTTAGAGTAATCGTCCGAACTCTCTTATCGAAGTAATCTTTTCGATCATCGTCTTTCTATCTTGAGATTATTTATTCCTCTGAGATTATGTAATTTTTTAATTGCTTCTGCGAGTTTGAATTTTGGCATACTTTTCTAATGATTCTATTAAACTTCTAGGAAAAATGTATTTTTTCGCATTTTGTTTCTGGTTTCCCGTTTCGAATCATTGAACTGGACTTATTATATTACTTCTCCAGAGAACTAAAAACGGAAATAACGAAATTTCGTTTTACTGAATTTGCAGATACGAAAAATGAAAGTATTTACGGTTGGGATGGACGAAAAACCAACGACCAAGGATAATCCAGTATCTCCTGATGGAGTTACCGTGGCATCAACACCGATTATTACATTCGAAAAAAAGCGAACTTCATATAAGGTATGGGATTTTATGAAGATTTATAGATTTCTAGAGTAGAAATCTTCATGAGCATTGATATGCAAGGTATTTATCGATTAGCGAAAAAGTGGATGGTATGGTATCAAGATTTTTACAGTGACTTGCAGAATTTTCTAAAAAGCAGGAAGACGAAAAATGGTACTCAAAAAATAGATTCAGCCTAACATAATATTGGTAAGTCATTTTACTAGGATCACAAGTTACTATGCAGATCATTTTACTAAAATCATAGGATTATGTTACCATCCAGCAATCATTTATTTTGGGACTCTTATATTACATTATTATTTTAGAGTTCTTTTAATAATCTTTTTTTTCTTTCACAATGTTGTATTGTTGGTGAAAACTATTAAAATGTTGTTGTGTTGATTAATTAATTTCCAAATTAACAATACTTAAGGCACTTAGCGCTATTCAATTTTAATTTCAGAATTATGTGATGTGCTTGGGAATGCTATTCTTTATCCTTTTGTTTACAATTATTGTCAGCAAATTGGTCTACTATAGAATACCCGATGATTTGGGATTACCATGGTAATTTCTCTTATTATGTATGCGTTTAGTTGAAACGGTGATTTGGGAAGACAACTAAATTGGGAATATAATAGATTTCTAGAAATAGCAAGAAAATCTTATACTGGCATCTAATATCTTTTCTTGGCATTAATAAATTAACGGAATTTTTGCCGTTAGTTTAAGAGCAATATTTTGATATTTTAAAAATATGTACTATCTATCAATAGTTTCAAATTTATTGCACTTTTGAAATTCATTGCACTGGCAATTTCCAAGGAATATCAATAGTTGGAATTTAAAACGAAATTTCACTTCATTGTTTACTTGAACTACTTCATGCCTCTTTCCATTTCAGTCCTAATGGAAATTGGAAAGATCTAAAAATTGTTCATTTTTAAGAACTTTTAAATTTAGGTTTGAATTGAAACGTCGAATAGGAGTGGGATGTGACGACTGTATGAGTACTCGTATAATTCAATCTTTTTATCCACAACGGTAATGGTTTTATAAAAAGAATGTCACTTCACTGCAAAATCTAAGCGAAATTTGTAAATGATCGAAATACAGAAAGACTTCATGAACAGCAAACGGATCCTTCCATAAATCTTTTGACATTGCTATTGCAAAAACATAGGAAATTGTAGTTCACGAATTTGACAAATAGTTTTTCCTTACCGTTTTGGGAGAATGATGGAGAAAGAAACCCTGAGGAAAATAATATTCAAGCAGTACACAGTAAATGCAATACAATTATCCGTTCAACAGTATCGATTTTATAGATCTTCAAGAGTTTTTGAAAGTTCAAATAATGCAGCACCACCAGCGGCATTAGCAATGCAGGCAGGACAATTTCAAACAAATGGAGAGGACTTATCAACATCACAGCATTTCGAATCGGAGTCATCAATCGACCTACCACAAGTTACAGTAAGTCTTTAACTAAAGTTTGTCTCAGTTTACATTCTGTGTTATAATTCGGAATCGGTATAATCTTCGCTACTAATATTCCACGCAGTTTTGCGCTAGTAACTGCAACTGCTAAAACAACCGTAAAATAATATCACAGTGCTAATTGCCAAAATATGCTATTCAGTTCATCTGCGAAACTGTCTGTAATACTTTATTGTTGTTGAGAAGATCAAGAAAATGATAATTTGGAGACTCAGTGGCGACAGCTTTTTTTTCAATTTTAGGATTCTCGTCTTGACTTTTTGCGTAAAATTATTCCAAAAATCAAGGAGCAAGCAGAAAAATCTGGCATTGAAGGCGTCATGCAGGTGAAGGTGTTACAAATGGATTCATTCAAGCCAAAACAGGTGAGTTTTATGCAAATTTAATGAAAACTCTCTACATAAATTATTAACTTATTATTTTATTACATTCATTGACGTCTTTGGAGGTATATATTCCGTTCATTTAACAATAATTTCGGTTTTAATTAACTATTAAATAAATTACTAAAACTGCTTAAATTAAGCCGTTACAGTTGCTCGACCGGTCAGATGAAAATCAACTGCAATCAGGAATCAATGCGATACAGTCGCCTGATTTCATGGCACCTTTCCGTCCTACTCTATTGTCTGACCTTTTGCGCTGGAATACTGTTGACAACGATGAAAGGTATGGGCGAAATTTCTCAAATTTGTAAAATTGAAAAATGAAATATTAAAATATTATTTGAATAATATGATGTAAATTCGATGTCTTAAATTATTACGTTCCATTTATGCATAATAAAGTCATCGAAAAAGTTTTTAGGCCATTAAATCAAAACGAATGCTCTCATTTTATATTTTTCAGTCAAACATTGAGAAATCAATTTTTCGGATCACAGCAGGATGATATAGCTAAGAGTGGACGGATGCTTATACTGGGACCGTTCTTGCAACCACAGCAACTATCATTATTACCTGGCTCCTGGGATAACAACAATAATATAGCTTGGAGCAATTCACTGCAACCTCGTCTGTTTGACTTGTCCCAACAGATCAGCAAACAACAACAGTGGAATAACCTTTGGCAGTGGCCTATTCCCATCTACAACAAGAACAGTAATGAAAAACTTACTCAATGGCAGAATATGCAATGGTCAAATAATCATCTGCTCACACCTGCAGTGCAACAAAACCCTTCACCTGTATGGGAAAATGGTAATCGATGGCAAGATAATGTTCAGGTGGGAAGTAACTGGCAAAATAGTATTCAGAATGGAGCAAATAATAATCGGTGGCTACAAAATGAATGGCAGGGACAAGGACAACAGCAGCAGTTTTGGTCTCAGTATCCCCAAACATGGCAAGCAAGTGTGAATCAGAACAACAATGATTGGAACACTCAGAGAGTAACCCATTCTGAATATCTGTCAACATTTGCTTTGAGAACAAGCTCAATTTTGGCTAAGACACGGAGAAATTTTTATTAAGAAATTTTTTGTCATTAAGTTAGCTAATAGTTGCTTGTCTATCAAGTTTTTATTTCAGGGCGATTTCCTGAATTACATTTTTCACCCGCCCTCATTCTTAGATGATAACAACTAATGATTTATCTGAAACTAAAAACTGTCTTCTTAATGTGCAGTTGATCTACTTCTTTTAAGAGGAATATTAATATTTAAGAGGAATATTTTTAAATATAGGTCAACTGTTTTAGTTTTGCTATTTACTTTCATTAAATGATGATGAAGAAAAAGAGAGGGAGAAAAGGAATGGTGATAAGAAAGCATTTTCAGGCAAATATTGTAGATAATTTGGATGAACGAATGATTCAGGCTGTTTTGCCAAATGATAACAACAATCTTTATAACAATGCAAATGACCAATGGAATCGATACTACATCCAATGGCACACCAATAACCAACGGTTGCGACAGCAGCCGATTGCGAACAATGTTGTTAGCCAATCACTTGAAATAACGGAACCTGTACCGCCGCGACAGATTCAAGATCAAAGTCTTGGACAGCAGCAATCTCAAGTGCCTCTTTTTTTTACTCTATCTGATAAATTCTTATTAGAGTACTTTCAAAGTTAGGAATATTCCATTGATTAGCCTGCGAAATTATTTAAGCGCTTGTATGAATTTCACGGAATATTATCTCATTGTTTTACAGATAGCAGATTCGCTGCAAAGCCAAACAGTTCTAGAGCAGCAAATTGAATCTCTATCTCCTCAGGCCCAACAACAAAAACAACAACCGCAACCAATAGGACAATTCCCTAATAAGCCGGTAGATATTGTTTAATGATAGCCTATATCAAATGCATCGCAATTTTCATATTATCTTACAAAGAAGCATTGAAAGATCCCGTATAACAGACATCTTTCATTGCAGATTCAGCCACAGATCAATACAATTCCAAACGAAGCTTTCCGTCAAAATCCAAGTGTACCAGTTGCTCCCAATGAATCAGATGATAATGTACCCCAGACAATTGCACCATTTATTTTTAACAATGATGACTGGAAAAAGATTGAAAATCCTAATCTTTTAGTCAGACCAATAGTAAGTACTGTATTAATATTGTGTGGTATTTGTACTGAGGTACTGTCGACTACCTATTATATATAATAATAGAGAAAATTGAAGTGGAGATTTTTATACATATTGTATCTGGCCGAACAAACTGTTGATGAATCGAATTTCGAATCTTTTTATTATTTATTTACAGAGTGACAATCAAGAGCACCTACAATTGCCGCATCCACAACGACCACAATTATCGATTCACCCAATTGAGAATGTGCTAATTGACAGCAGCGGTGACACTAAAATGACTGATGATGAACTCAATAAAGTCCCAATTGTGGAGGTTTATAAAGTATTTCTAAACAAAAAAATCTAGTTAACAGTAGTAGCAAGGAATGTAAAATCGAAATTTTTATTATTCTTAGTACCATAATGCGACTAACAATTTGGTTTGATACGACTAGTACAGAAGTAGAGTATAGTATCCTTTTGAAAATCGAAGTATTCTTGCTGCTGCACTAAATTTCCTTGCATTTCTTTTTCAAAACTTCTTTTTCGGATATTATTTCAGCAAACAGGACCAATGAATGATATCAGTCGCGGTTTATCAAATCCAGTACTATTTCAAGTTGATGAGCCACCACCAAAATCCGCTAATATGGATGAAAGTTTCGCCAAATAAATACATTAGTATTAGCAATAACTGATAAGCGACGAATGGTCCAATCAAATGATAAAAGTGCCCATTTAACGCCTTATTATTTTTAACTCTGATTTTTTTCTCGTGATTTTGCTAAATTATCATTTCGTTCGAAATAAATTCACTTATTCTATGATTGTGTAATCAGCGCTAAACTAACTCAAATCATTCATTTCTTATATCATTTTGATTAGATAATATTTCAGCATATCACAAAGCGTACTGTAGAGAGATTATATCCTGAACCTGAACACAAATATAATTTCCAGCGTTATTTTGATGGTATTTCCGCTATATAATTGTGAATATTGAACACTCACACTCACATTTACTACAGTATCTCAATTTTTCATTTTCTTTCGGCTAAAGAGCTTCAGAATTTTATTTTTTTTTAAAAAAATCTATTAGAAAGGCTTATTTCCAAGTAAATAAATCAAAGAGATAAATGTGAAACATAATTTAAATGGCTGGGAATGTTTGATAAGTTTCATCCACCTTTTTAATTCCAATAAATTTCAAGCAAATGAAATATTTCAATTTCAAATTACATATCCAGTAAATTATTCATTTCTTCTACATTAAGTTATCAATGAAAATTAAAGTATTGTAAAAATTTTCACTTATAAGATATGAAAGGAATATTTCAAAATTGCTTCTAATCGTTATTATCTGCCTCGTTCATTTCAAATATACTTCATTTCTTACAAACTAATATAGAGGATGATCGTTGTTATGTTAGTCTTTCAACTTTTCATTTTAAAGATTATTCAAAGAACAAAATGTTTGTGTGTGAAAAAATTAACATTTACAAATTCCATACAACTAATTGAATGTATAAGTATATGAAATGGTATAGGATATAAATTTTTGAGGGCATTAACAAATTTCAAATAATATTGATTAAAATTGCGATACGAAAGCCTATTAGAGCTATCGGTATACGTTAATGTTTTGTTTTAACAGACAATTTGAGCATCATATGCCATAGAGAAAAAGATTGAGGAACGATTAGCGAGCAAATTTTGTGGTGAATCAAATTCTCGTATTGAACCATTTTCAAGTACCATAATTCTGAAAGAAGATAAGTTTACAAGATGGAATTAAAAATTGATATTTAATACTTTTCGCTGTAAAAAATTTAACATGAAAATAAAAATTTCTGAAGCAAAACATAGGATGTAAAAAGTTTGAGAACTTTCATCTTAGTTAATAAAATCAATGCTAAAATTTGATGAAAAATTTTTTACACATTATTTAATTTATTTAAATTGAAATAAAATTACCTATCATAATCGATGACAGTATTTAAACGATGTGCAATGGTTAGTACAGTTGAGTCATGAAATTCACGACGAATTGTTTCCTGAATTAATAAATCAGTTGCTTGATCTACAGCAGCTGTAGCTTCATCTAAAATTAAGACTTTGCTCTTACGAAGAAGTGCACGTGTTAGACAAATAAGTTGTCGTTGTCCAACGCTAATATCTTCACCTCCTTCACTGATCCGATATTGCAAACCTACAAAATGTATTTTAATATAATTCGAAATAATTTATTACTTTAAAGGATATATTAAAATTCTAAGATACTCCAAGCACGATATGCAATGGTTAGTTTTATTGATTGTTTTTAAGCATTCGGATATACTCTAAAATTTTCAAAAATTTAGATTGCATTTTTCACTTTTCAAATATTTTCCTTCCAGATGAACAACCTACTATCATTTTCATGATATCCGAATGCTTAAAAACAATCAATAAATAAATTCAATGAACAATCAGTGTTAATGTATCATTTGTTAATCTTTAATCAATGTTAATCTATCATTTGTAAGAATTATCTTATCAATCAATAAAGATTATCGCAAAAATTTTTAACTAACTAACCTTCAGCAAGACTTGAAGCGAATGTTTTCAAGTGTGCTAACTCTAGAGCTATCCATATTTGTTGATCAGAATAAACATGAGATGGATCCAAATTAAATCGTAATGTTCCCGAAAATAAGACCGGATCCTTAAATTAAGCCTCATCTGATTGGAAGCAATAAAAGTGAAATTTCAAGCTATGCTAAAAGAATTCACAAAACAAACTGTTTTTTTTAATAGCAAAATTAAAAAATATAATTAATTCCATTTGATGAAATTATTGTTATAATTTATTTGCTTCATTTTTAATTTAATTATAGAAACCTGTGGAATGATTGTGAGGTTTGAACGAAGGTCATGTAAACCTATATCTGAAATATTGATACCATCAATAATAATTGTACCACTGGCAGGTTCAATAATTCGGAATAATGCTAGTGCTAAAGAGCTTTTACCTAAAATGTGAAATTATTTAGAATTGCTTTCATATGTATGATTATAAAATGTATCAGATAGATCAAGTGAATCGGGAAAAAATTTTGCCCTTCCTTCTAGGGAAGTTTATAATCACGGTATCCTAAAATCGCGGATATCAGGATCAATATTAGGTCACTTTATACTTTCTAAAAATTATTAGATGTACGCAAAAGGTATACCTGCGCCTGTACGGCCAACAATACCAATTTTTTCAGCTGGCGCAATGGAAGCATTCAATTGATGTAAAACGAAATTAAGCTTAGAATGATAATGTGTTGAATAGTTTATTAATGATATTTCTCCTTTTGATGGCCAATTTTCTTTTGGCTTGAAATGATCAACTCTCCATTCTGCCTAAAAAATTTTTGCTAATAATTGTAAAATAATTTGATCAGATAAGAATATATGCAGCATCTTAATATACGAGAGAGTAATTAATAATTAAACATATTAAATAATCAGAAATTAAATCGTTAATAAGAAATCAGAAAATTCTCCGATAGAAAAATCATAAATACAAACTTCGGTTGACATCTCATCATATTCTTTTATACGTTCAACGGCTACTATATTCATTTCCAATTCACTAATATGTCGTACAGCAAAATTTAACGCTTCTGTGATCTGTAATGAATACCTTATGGAATGCACACATACATTTTCAACGGCTACTATATTCATTTCCAATTTCACTAGTAGTGAAATTGTGCTGAGAAAATTAAGGTGATAAGAAATACAATTTTTAGTGATAATTTTCTTTTCAATTGAATTTTAAGGTCAGAGAAATGAATTCGAACTTTTAAATATGTTAATGAAATTAGTAAAAAAAATTTACGTTTAAAGCGTAGCTAACACTAAGTCCTGAAATTCCGGCACTTATTGAAATACCCCAACGATGCCAGAGAACCACAAATAGTGCTGCAAAAAGTACAACACAATTTCCAATAAACTCCAATCGTACTGCTAACCAACGATTTGATAGAACATTGGAATATTTACAACGTGTGAAACAATCAACGTATGTTTCCATTAACTTGCAAAATTCTTGCACCTGCAATATATTGTTGATTGTATATAAAATTTAAAATAATCATAGCAGCGATTTTGCAAAAGTTGATTTCAAAGATCCGGAAAAAAATGAACTGAAAAGTTAACATCAAAATTGACATCAAATTCAACCCAATTAGATAAAGCAGCGTTATCAAATAGTGCAGTGTTTTGTATTGGAGAGAATGATAGGAAGGATTATAATGAGGAATAGTTCAAGGATAAACAATTACTATCTTTTCAGACACCATAACTTGGAGGAAATTGAAAAGGTAAGGTTTTAAATTTTACCTTTGTGAAATTAACCTAGAAAAGCATAGTAGAGATATATGAGAATTTTGCAGAATGCTATAAGAAATAAGCATAAGGAAGAAATTTGATAATATCTTTTACCTTTTCGAACGCTCTTATGCACGTAAGTCCTCGGATTGTTTTTTCGAAGTGTTGATAAATTGGTGAACGATTGATACTTTCCAGTCGTCTTATTTGTCGTGACGTTGGAATATAGAAGTACTACAAGCAATTGATAGTAGTAAGATTTAATTTTTATCAAAAATTTTTAGTTAAAAAAATAATTGATAGCTGATAATCTATGGAAGTAAAATAAACATACCAGAGAAGTGTAATAGAGAAGTGCAAGAGGTATGATAGTAATAGTAAAAACAGGAGTTGATATAATTATTATAATTAATATTATCGTAACATTTTCAATACAGTTTAAGAAATAACGAAAACTCGTCGGTAATAATTGATCGATCACATCGATATCCTGCAATAAATTAGCAATCAAAAATTTTACGACAAATTTTCCATCTTTGATAGATATATGAATCATTTTAAATTTGTTAAGTAGGACTTTTTTTTGGGGAATATCTAATGAAACGAACAAATATGCAATATTATATTAAAGAATATTTAAACTTGATGAAAATTCAACCTGTTTTTGTCGTAATCATAATCGATCAAAGAAAGAATTGTTTTTTGATTTATAAATTTTAATTAAATTTCAATGGAACAAAGAAGGAATAGATTTTATAGGATTGCAAACCTTGCCAAGTCTACTCAAAATACGTCCGATCGGTGTCATATCAAAGAATGACATCGGTGAATGTAACAAACGATGTAGGAATGGTGCATGAAGATTTTGCGATGCTCGAAGACCGCTTATCATCAAAAATGCCAATGCACCAAAAAAACAGATACCTTGAAAATGCATGCATTTTGCATATGAACTTGTTCACCAATAAATTCTTATAATTAAATTTCATAGATAATGAAGAATTAACGCTGTAAACTATTCCCGCTGAATTATTATTGCTTATCAATAAGTTTGATAACATTTTCATCTCTTACATTAAACTAACTTTTTTTTAAATTAATTTTTTGGCTTAATTTTAACTTTAGCACAAAAAAGAGCCAAAGAGCCAAGATCTAGAAAAGTTATTGCTTCTTTTGACAAACCTTCAGAGAAGCCAAGTGCAAAATATATCCCGAGATATGCTCCAAGCGAAAATTGCTTCATCTCTGAACTACCCGATACTGTATCATTTGCATTTGACCAAAAAAAAAATTTATTATTTTACAAATTGCAACAGTTGATAGATGAAATTGAGTGAATAGCAAAATTACAAATTTGACTAATACGAATTAATAATTATTCAAGAATTCATTATTTCTTATTTATTCTAATTTCCTTAGAAATATCCTACTGGAAAATCTTCAATAATTTTCCAACCATTTAGATAGCCATAATCCACGTCCCATTTGAAGAATTCCATAGGATGCGAAGAGAAAAAGAAAGAGAAACGATGTTAAAAAAGTTGCTGATCGGATATACCGTATGTAAACATCAAATTTTACCTTAAATATTTTTTTTATATTATTTACTTCTGACCTAACAATTGACCTATGGTAAGATAAAAGATAAACCTTTGGAAGTTATTTATGCTATATCAAAGTAAAAATATGTAATAGATTTGTTTAAGTGTTTCAATTTCGATCGAATATTCAATGAACGCTGTCATTCTATTTATTACCGAAAGTGTTACTTCCCTTAAGATATTTTAAATAAAACATACCCTGCCAACTTCAACTTTCTCAGTTGTAGTCATCTTAAACTCTTCTTTCTTCTTACCACTATTTAAGGAATCAATTGAAAATTCAGAAAGCGATTTCACCGTGGAAGATTCTTGATTCGTTGTTGATAGTAATGAAATTCGTCTTAGAAAATGAAAATTAGACTAATCCAAAAACTAAACTTAATTTTTAAGCAAAATGAATATAATGGTACAAAAAGATTTTATTTCAAAATTAAAAAACTTTGAAACTTTTAGTGCAACTAATCCCAAATGTAATTATATTATGATTTGATAAATTTTTCCAATTTCCAACTAAATTTAAAATATCTGTTCTATTACTTAAGCATAAACTGATAATTGATAAATATGTAATTGATATGTAGTTATGTAATTGATAAATAATAAATGATAAATAATTGATAAATAATAAATTATGTAATTGATAACTAATAAAATTTACCGATCAAATTTGTCAACACTTTCTTTATTGACATCCTTAGCTTCGGATTCTTCGTAATCTGCAAGAAAATTAACTAAAATAAGAAATTTTATTCCATATAGTATTAATCAAATAGTTTTGTAATTTAAACTATCTAAGCTAAATATTGTAAATTTAATTTGATGTAATCATACGATCATACAGTATCATAGAATAGTATACTATAACAATATGATTGTATACTGCCACAATTTGTATTTGGAAATAGAAATTGAACTTTCATCAAAAAAGGACAATAATTTTCAGATTTTAAAATTTCAAAAATATATTTATAAAAATTGCATAGTAAAGAAATACTATTATCATCATCATCATCATCGAATAGTTCCAAATTATTTTCTTCGTCACTTTCTTTCTTCGATTCTTCCCATTTTTCATTTTCACTTTGACATGCTTCGACAAATTTTGAAAAACTCTCAGATTGTCCGAGTAATTTTTTATATGAACCGTATGCAACCAATTTACCATCTATAAGTTGCTAAAATATTTTCATGTAAATTACATTAATTATACTATACATCATCTATTCGTTATACTTACAATATTTTGAAATAAAATTTGAGTTTGATGAACTGAGAGAACTACTGGAAATAGTTGATGTTAAATCAAACTTTCCTTATTCATCGATCGATGTGATATCTGTTCATATTATCTTCGCATTTATAAATTAAAAAATTCAATAAGCCACCTTGCATATATGCAACAGTATCAACTTTATTTAGATATGCCAAATTATTCGTTACCAAAATTCTTGCCTTATCACGTAATAATCCATTGTGACCAATTACCTGTAAAGAGGAATAAAAGATATATTGATTTCTAATGCAAGGTGAACAATGTAAACTGAATAAATTTAATATCTGCAAATTTGTTCTGATACAAAAGATTTTCCATATATCCCTTCTATTCCTTTCACATTTGATGATTTCAATATTACGGTTAGAATTTGTTCATCTTTCATAAAAAAAGAAAAGAGACAATATTTCATATGTTGTTAATACACCTGGAATAATCAAAATGAACACATAAAACATAAGTCATCGAATTTTGACGTATTTCTTTTACGTTAAAGATAATGCAAAATCTTTATATGTCTTATGGCCCTATTAAATAAAGAAACGAATAAGCTAAAAATTACCTTTTCAAAAATATGTTTTCCAACATGACTATCCACTGCTGATAGTGGATCATCCAACAAGTAAATATCACAATTTTGATAAATCGCCCGAGCAAGAGCTACGCGTGCTTTCTGTCCACCGGATAAATTGATACCCTAAAAATTAATTAATAATGCAAATGATAAGGAAGAGAAAAAAACATAAAAAATTCTTGCTTAATGATTTTTAATCTTTCAATTTGAAATAATCATTTAAATCCACGAACTTTTTCACCAATTTCAGTAGCATCTCCATTTGGTAGAATTGCTAAGTCATCGATTAAAGCACAGGCTTCCATAATTTTATCATAGAATTCTCGATCAAATTGTTTTCCAAATATTATATTATTGCGAAGAGTTGAATTTTGAATCCATGGTTGTTGGCTAACAGTGCCCATTTGACCGCTGACACCGATGTAACCTTTTATTTTTTCCATCTCACCTAAAACAATAGAGCTCTTTATCAGTTCATTATCATTTATAACAATTCATTTTTTGTCATCTAAAATATCTTATGCAATAAATTAGAAATTTTTCTTCATTAATGAACTTCAAAAATTTTTCACTTTAATTTGAAAGATACCCTTCAACACGCAAATCTCTTCTCCCTTCAAAGCAACAATATATTCTTACAAAATATTACTTCTTAAGACTGCGTAATAAAAGCGCATTGAAATTAACTCTGAGTAAAAACTATGCTAATATAATTATGAGATAAAAAGCGAATAATTAAATGATTGATATTATTAAGTATCACAGGCTGATTTATCACGATGCTTATCATCACCGAATTTATGCAAAAATATCACATAATTAGTAATTTCAAAAATTAGCAAACTATTCAATTATAACTAATATTTCATATTTTGTACGAATTCTTTTGTCTTTCAAAAAAAATATTGCAAAAATTTAAAGCTGTTATTTCAACGAGAAATGCAGAAATTACCCAAAATGGCACTAAGAAGAGAACTCTTGCCACTTCCAACTCTACCAACCACAGCAATTAAAGATTTCTTTGGTAAAATGAAACAATCAATTTCTAATCCTGTTTCCAATCCGGTAGCATTCCAATTCAGATGAGCTTCTTTTATTTCAATTGCATTTTCCGTATCTTAATTAACATAATTTAAAAGTATGAAAATTGAATCTAATTTTTTTTCCCGCAATATTTGCAAGCAATATTGAAATATCGTCAAACTACACATCCTTTGATTTGTTTTCCTTAGGATAACCAAAAATAAACAAAATAAAGAAACCAAAATGATCAGTGATTCGATCAATAGTTAATGGATTTAATTCATCTGCCACCAAAAAATTTTTAATTCGTCTATTTGCCACTACTGTCTGAAATAATTGAATCTGTCATTCTATCATTTATGTAATTTTATCAATTAGTCTTAATTATAAAGCATGTCATTCATTTTCTCAGAAAAAGGAAATTTTGCTGACAGCTCAGATGAATATTATTTTGAAAAAAAAAAAGAGAAATTACATAAATGATTTAAATTAAATAAGCTAATTGATAAAAACAATACTAGCAGATCTGAAGAATATTATTTTACTTAAGGTGTTGGTTCCTTAGGAATTTCAAGATTTCAAGCTAGAAGAAATTGAAGGCATAAATTAAATAAGCTAATTGATAAAAAACAATACTAGCAAATCTGAAGAATATTATTATACTTAAGGTGTTGGCTGATTGAGGAATTTCAAGATTTAAAGTTAAGATAAATTGAAATTAAATGCACCACCTACCTCTACGGTCTGTTTCATCAAATATGCGATCATTGCAAGCGGTGAGCGCAATTGATTGAAAAGAGTTAATGAAACAAATGCAGTTTGTGGTGTAAGGACATGAGTAGAACTTGACAATGTATACGTTGCAAATGTTAGCATTGCTACCTGAAATTCTAGCATACGATAACAATCGTAATGAAGTAATATTAAATGAGTGAATTTATGATTGTAATTTTGTTAGAAATGTATTATTATTTTTTAATTCCTCAAATTAGAATTACCATTTTTGAAAATTTAGAAGCTGGCTGAAGAGATATTATCATAGATTATAGAGAAATGTATTGATTTAGAAGACTGTCATTAAATGTTTAACATCTTTATAATCGATAATTTCTTTTGAAATATTTTGTTTATTTTAGTCATAAATTATTGATTATGAAATGATACTGCAAAAATCTTACTATTACTGCTAAAATTTCATAGAAATTATCAAACTTAAATACAAAAATAATTTTTATCACTTTAACATTTTATTAATATTTCAATGATTAGAAGTTAAAAGAAGAAAAAACTTACAAAAAATGTTGAAGAAGAATTAATGGTATCGACAAGGATTCTAATTAAGCCTACTTTACGAATTAAATAGAGTTCTTTACGTCGAATTTGCTCAACCACTTCTTCCATTGATGGTTCCCAAGCATATAATTTAATCACTTTTATACCATGTAATATTTCATTACAAATTTTTATCCGTTCATCTTTCAATCTCATTTGTTCCGTCTATAATATAAAATAAAATAAGTTATGAGAAAAACTAAAAGAAGAAAAAATGGAAATTAAAATTCTGTGTTATATTTATAACGGAAATAATTGAAGGGTAAAACTTTTTGGATAGAAATAAACCAAACAAACCTGCCATTTTTTAACAATAACTAAACTGATAACATTTAATGGTAAAATAAATATCATTACAGCTACGCCAACAATAGATGATGGTCCAATGATAAAGAATAGATATATTAAGACTATCATAATCTGGAAATAAAATTAATGCTGGAAATTTTTTGTGCTAAACAGATGTGATGATAATTGTTAATAAGTTTAAATTAGTATATGAATATATGAAATATATGAGAATAATTAATTTGGAAATAGAAATAGATTTAAAAGATAAGCAATATAAAGAATTTGGATGTTAAGAAAAATGTGATATTAAGCTATTTTCAGAGATGAAATATCAATAGTTATGGTATTCGCTAAATTACAGCGAATTGAATTAAGCAAATTAGCTTCATTATTTAGCAAACCTGAAATGGACATGACCAAAATTGCTGAACATACGGTGTAATGGATTGGAAATTCTCGGCATCAATTGCCATTAAATTCAAAATTTCACCTACAGTCTTGGTTTTTCGGGCTGAATTTGACAGCCGTAAAGTCTTAAATTTGATAAATGAACAAGCAAAAATGTGTAGAATAAAATTTGTAAAATAAACATCATTATTTTTTTAATACAATGAAAATAAATTTTATGGTTTATAATCTAAAATTCAAAATTTAAATTTTTAAAAATTTATAGATTTAAGATTGCTTCGTTTATCATTAAATGCTGTTGAACACAAAAATAATTTCAGGTTAAATCAAACCTTTCGATAAATGGCAGTAATTAATGTAGTCTGAATTTTGGCACCCACACGCATCATTAGAAAGAAGTAGTAATTAAGAAGAAATGAACGAAGTTCAGCGCATGCAAACATTGCTATCACATAAATTAAACCTTCCATGGAAGTGTGATTACCAGTTGAAATAAAATTTAGTAATAAACTGCAAAAATATTTCTAATCATTTTTTGCAAAATAATCTAATTTGATTCTGAAGAGAGATGAGATTCTCATGCTATCTTATTAGTTTCAGTAATGGAACTGATAAGATAGTTGAAATCAGATTATCCATGAAAGTATGATTAACAGTTGAAATAAAATTTAGTAATAAACTGATAAGATAGCATAGCATCAGCATAGCAAGATGATTAAGCTATCTTTATTTTTTCAAAATAACTTCAAAGGATCCACTGTTAGAGAGATTTTCATTTCAATTCTTCCCGATTGTTAATATCACTGAAATTTAAAAAAGTAATTCTAGGAATCAATTCTCAAATGCATACTTTAGAAAGAATGGATTAGCAAGTTGTATCACATCAGATAATATTTTGATAGCTGATGCTGATAAAATTTCAAATCGAAACATTAAAAATAATCGCCATACGATTGATGGTGGTTTCAGATCATTTCCTCTGAAAAAGGATAATTAAATTGAAACTATACAAATCTAAGCTTAAGCTTATTTTCCTTAAATTAAAATCATACTTTTTCCGGTATTTAGAAGTGCTGTCGTTTTGTTGTGTATTTTTGTAAATTTTCTGTCTTCTACGATAATCTACAAAAGAAAATTTAATATCTGTAAACAAGCAAAGGAAATTATAATAATTTAAAAAGCTTCCTTTCGACGATTTAAAAAATTAAACTTTAATGTAATCTAATTATTACAAAATAATTTAAAAATTATTTCGATCTTTCTTAAAGCCATACTCAATTCAAGAAACAGTATCCAATTCTCTAATACTATTGTTTCTAGAAATAAAATGCAGGTTTGGGATTTACGGTTTAGAAGGGAATGAAATAAAATGTGTACTCTTATTTTAGTACCAACCCTCGATAGCAATATTCCATAGTTTTTCCCATTTGGTATACAAATATGCAACAGTGTTGCCATCATTAAGCTGATATAAGTCATCAACAACCAATGTTTTTCGAGCACCCAACAGTTGAACTTTTGTAAACCACCAAAGCAATAAACGATTCAAGAATGAACTATCCAGTTCAGGTGATACATTCTGGAAAATACACATTCTCGTTTATTGCGATATCTCAATACAAACACTGAATATCGAGATTCCGCAAACTTTTACAAAAAGATTCTATTCGAAATATTAGTTTTTTACTAATATTTGCTAATTAGCATAATTTACTTAGCATAATTTACATTTTATATTAATTAGCATAATTTACATAATATTTACTAATTAGCATAATTGGTTGCTTATTCATTAACATTTGTTTGTAGACTATTGTACTATGAAATGTTATTTTAATATCTTTGATTATATCATAGCTTTATCTAAGTGACAATCAAAAAGTCAATTTTGAAGTTTACATCAGTTTACATCAGTATGATAAAAATAGAGGGTGTCACTATAAAATTTCATTGAAATGCTAAAAAGAGAGCTCTTTGTACTTAAAAATAGTAATTCTAGAAGATTCAATAATTTGGACACACTTTTGCCAACTTTTTTCCTTTCTTTTATTTTTCATTTTTCAACTAATTATGCAAAAAACTGAAAGATTTGAGGATTGCAATTAATTACGAGACGGTTAAGCTCAAATCCAAAACAATATCATTTCCTGATTTTTCTTTCATCTTACTGCTGTAAATAAATCGGTACAAATACCAGTTGCTTTCTTGTTTTGACCAGGAATGGTTCACGACAATCAGCAAAACAAAGCAATAATGTTTGAATGACGATAAGTGGATACCAAATCTGATAAAGAATGAAACGAGCCATATCCAAGTATTGCATCAACTGAAAAATACCCGTTGCAGTTAACATAGCCAAGCATTCAAATGTCCCATATTCCTTGGCTGTACTAGCTTGTAACATTTTGCTATTTCTATGATCACTAGAATTTGATAACTTTTATCATTTCTTGTGCTACTCGAGAAATTATTCAAGTTTCAGATAAAGTCAAAAGTTCTTAAATTTTTCTAAAAAAAACACAAACCCTAAAATTGCCAATTTCTTGCCATTCAAAGAAGTATTCCGGAAAACCGCATAATGTGAAAAGTGCCATCGTAATATGTATTACTCCGGAAGTAATCATACCATTTTTTCGTGCCATTAAAATACAACAAAATAGGCCTAACTGGAAATATTAAACAGACTTATAGTTTGATAAAATTTGATACTATAAAGTAGATTATTTGGGTTAATCAATTTTAATACAGATTATTAAACTAACCGTAGTAAGAGCTGTAAGGATTGCATACCAAAAGTCAATGAGTGATAAATTTGCGTTACTTCCATTATGATATAGACTAATGACAAGTCTTGCAAGTGCATTTATTAGCAAGCATATCATCAATACCTTAAATATTTTGTTATACAATTAGTTCTCAGTTGTTGACAGTTAATGTTCGATCACTCTTTGAAAGGCTATTCAAACAGTTTTACAAAACTGCTTCATTAATAATCATACTACTTTTATTCATTACTTATTTGTTCTGTTCAGCTATCAATCTTCCATCTTTCATCTGGCACCATTGTTACTTTGCAAAAACAATTACAAAGAATTTACAATTTTAGTAATTAATAGAACGGTCCATGGTAATGGATAAGAGCGCACTCCACCATTTACCCGTATCCGATAAATCTGTACGCAAAAAATTGGTAGTAAAAGCCAGAAAAATATGCACGGTATAACAGGTAGGATAATAACGCGAAAACAATCAAAATCATCTTGTACAGTTTCATTCAAATTTCCCTGAAACTTATAGCATTTATCTGAAAGAAATTATAATGATAGCTTTTGTTTTTTATGCATTTAATTGAATTATCAAAGAATTCAAAAAAATTTTTTTGAAGAAAGAAAACTAACATTGCAATATGTATGAAGCATCTGAAGCAATTTTATAGCCATACTATTAAGCTTTTCTTACTTTATTGCCAGCTGAAGACTGAAATTATCTGAAATTATTTGAAGAAGGAACACATTGCGCTTCGTTGGACATATTGCGCTTCGTTGGACATATTGCGCTTCGTCGGATACCAAACGTAAATTAAGAAGAGAGAATTATGAAAGGTTTAAATAATATTTCATATAATTTGTGGGTGAAATCAAAAATTGATCTTTTGCTTTCTATTTTCCTGGAAAGTTTTGTAAAATATTTATGAGATGAAGAAGGCTTATCATGACAGATGGAATAAACAATGAACGATTAGCGATGAATTCACAACATTACGGCTTATTTAAATGTTATTTGAAATTGAGCAAAGTTTAAATTATAGAAATTTTAAAGCTTAATTAATTTTGTTTTGCCGTTAATATCTATGCTATCTTGACCAAAAAAAGGGCCAGGTCACTTCTTGACCATCACAAATACAATTAACGCAAGAATCCGGTCACTTCTTGACCATCACAAAATACAATTAGCACAAGAATCCGGTCACTTCTTGACCATCGCAAAATACAATTAACGCAAGAATCCGGTCGTTTCTTAACCATCACAAAGTACAATTAACGCAAGAATCCGGTCACTTATTGATCATTACAAATGCAATAAACGCAGAATCCGATCACTTTTTGACTATCACAAACGCAATAAATGCAAGAATCCGTCACTTCTTGACCATCACAAATGCAATAAACGCAGGAATCCGGTCACTTCTTGACCTCACAAAATACAATTAATGTCATAATTGAAAGTCGCAGAAAAGAACAAACATATTCATCCCATCATTGCTTAAAAAACATTTTAAAAAAGCAAAAAAGCATTTTACTATTTTATTATAAATAAAATATTAGAAGAGAATGAATGAGTAAACATTACAACATTCAATGTCAGATTTACAATATTAAGAATGGACACAATTTCGACGTACTTATCATCAAAATAGTTTGTATGTGTATTGAATTGACAAATAGTGAAATTTTCGATTTGATAGGATTAATGTAATGATTACAATAGCCATGTTGACAATGATAATAATACCTTATCAAAAATATTATTTTAGAAATTAAGATTTATTTAGGAATTTTTAGAGTAAGAGAAATGATAACGTATAAAATTGTTAGTATTGCTATTTATAAATATATATGAAATAGTAATGTAATGCATGAATATGATTATTGTCAATAGTGAATGATCATTTCTGATGTTAACAACCATCATAAAGCTTAACAATACAAATATCAAAGGTCAAAAATGTGAGCAGTTTTTGTATTTATTGATTAGTTTGTAACATATCCATATTGAAAATGCTATGTTGTAAATTATGTTGCAATGTTATTACTATATATTACTAATAAAAGATATAAATAATCATCCTAAACTTTTTTTTTTTTGAAATGATGAACAAATAACCATTGATAGTAAAAAATTGATTTGAATTTCCGATGAAATCACAAAATCAGTAGTATCAGGTAATACAGGTAATGATTACATGTGCATATCAATGAATATCATTGTAATGCAATTATGCAACAATTAGAAATATATTTTTGATATGATAAGAAATGAATTAGAAAGGAATATTTAGTTGTGATGGTTGTGATATGAAAATCAAGAAAACAAGAAGAGAATGTTACTTACAAATTTAATTCCGATTTCCTACCGCAATACTGCCTGTTCCGATTACGTATACAACTCTGATGCAGACAGTGTTGCTGAAGTGAAATTAGTTTAATACTTTAAATCAATCAATTTCGATGTACCATTGGAGTGTATTGGTTTTTTCTAACTACTAATGAATTTAATGTATATTTATCTGAGATTTTGTGCTGTTAAAGTTGATTGTTTTGATAAGATCAGATTAGAAATATTCTGATCTATGTGTAATATATCAAATCATAGTTAAACTTTTATTTACTTTCACATGCAGAATAATCACATAGTTAAAATGCATCAAATAATTTTGAAATCCAATTAGCATTCTTTTTATCAAACAATAGCAATTTTATAAATACAATTATTAAAAGAAATGTTCGCACCTTTTAAAACAACCAAAATAAATATTGACTATTTTAAATTATTTTTTTTTAATATGAATTTTCAGGAAATTTCACCAAAGTAAATTAATACCTAAATTATATGAATAGGAAAAGCATATTGAAAACAATTAACAATTAACTATTAATTAATGAATACATTTCAACGATGAATTTATGCAGTTGTCATTAAATCAATGATACCACATCATAAATTATGAAAGTTTAAACAATCTGATAGGAAATATTATAACTTTTATTTCTTTCCTTCTTACTTCAAGAAGATGTAAATTGAAGTTTAAATAGTTTCTTATGAGATTTACATTTTAATCTCAAAACTTTTTTAAACGTAGGTTGAAAATATTGAAAAGCGCATCGCTTAAATTTCGATAATTTATCTTCGCCAGAATTTATCATATTTTGCTAGTCCTTATTTCTAAAAGGAATGTTAAAGGATTTTTCGTGATTCTTGTTAGGATTTTTCATCTTTTAAGAATGGACTTAAACTACCAGCAGAGGAACTGCTATAACTTTCATCACGAATACCGCTATCAATACTACCATTTGATATACGAGTATCTGTGGTACCAAATATTTGTTTCATTGTTATTTTTGCTGATGAATTATGCAATGGAAATGGTTTAGTTTGGCATGATGAAGGATAAGATAAATTTCTTCGTGATACGATATCAGCTTCGATTTGCGATGAATTTTCCATTTGTTGCTGATGTAATTGTTCGCAATGTTGCGATAATCGTGATAGTCGACGATGCTAGGCAATTATGAAATAAATAATTGTTGGCATAAAAAAATTCTTCTAATTAAAGAAAATTTAAAAAGAAGAAAGGAAAACTATACTTTCTACTATATGTAATTATCAAGAATATAATTAATTACATAATTATGCTTAATTACTTCTTCGAAATATTAATTGAAATTAGCAAAAATAAAATTTATTTGAAATTTCAATTAAATTTATTGAAAATGAAATGAATGAAAATGAACGAGCAAATATTTAGGAGAGAAAGTTAAATTAAAAGGAATAAACGGCGAAGTACCAATTTTTCATTTGTTGACATTCGATTACAACTTCTCGGCGGAATTGGTATACGAAGGACAGAATTTTTGCGAGAAAAATATTGCTTATTTTGATTTTCCTTTGGTTCATCATCCACGTATAAATTTGTAACTGCTGATAACGAATTATCAAATGTTCGTTTCATCCGATCATTAGACCACCATTCCTGAAATTTTAAGAGATGAATCATTTATTTTCAATTTCTAAAATTTAATGAGATAAATTATTTTTAATTTAATGAATTTAATGAATTTAATTTAAAATTTAATGAGATAAATTACCCTTAATTTCTAAAATTTAATGAGATAAATTATTCATTTTAAAACAAAGCTATCAGCTTTAATTATAATTAACGAATTTACTAAAATGCAACAATTCTTTAAGTCGAAAAAATTTTTAAATTTTGAAACATTTTATGAGATTTTCTTTCTTTTTAATAAATTCATATTCTTTGATTGATTGAGTAAAGATAATTTTGGAAATAAGTTCATGTCCATTTCCAATTTATTCTTGGCTCTTTGCTTATTTCATTCATTCATTGGCTAATTTAGGAAGAAATGATCGAAAGCAAATAGCAGCCAATTTGATTTTTTGATTCGAAGAAATCTAATTTAATTTATCAATCTGTCGCTTGCAAACCTCATCATCACTATTTTCTTCCTCTAATGAATTTGGTAACTGACTACAACGATTTGCTTGACTTCTGGATTTCAATTCCTGAATGGAATCTCCAAGTGCTAATAATTGTTGTAACAGACGAACATCATTTTCCATCAGCGAGATCTGTAAATAATTAAAATAAGATTAATGAATAATATTTCCTAATAAAAAAAAAAAATAAATAATAGAAATTTTGAAAAATTTGAAGATCAAATGAAACTGACAGTTTACTGTTTAAAACCAAATTTAATTATTCATTTATATCTATCTTATACACATTCTCTAAGAAACGATCAGATTTTATTCGACTTAGTTTTTAGTTCTTCCACATTTTCCTTTGCATTGGTGAAATGTATTGCAAAATACCTGCTAACATCGATATGCTCTATTTATTCTTACAATTAATAATAATAAATAATAATATGGCAGTAATTTAGTAATAATATAGTAGTAATTAATAATTATAATAATAATATAGTAATAATATAGTTAATACCATATATTTAACTGAGTTTAACTTATCTTAACGTGATATTTTTTTTGTTCCTATTTTTAAATACAAATATTTTTTTGGTATATTATTCATTAGTTTGTTTGCCGTCAGAGAGAGAGAGAGAGAGAGAGATAATCATATCAAATATAAATTTAAATTGAAATAAACTGTATGAATTAAAAATTCAAATTTAAATTTTATGTTTGGTAAGGAAAAAAGTTTTTACATTATTGTCGCAAATTCTATTCTCTAAAAAATATTATCTGCTAATTAGAAGTAATAATTTACTTTCATCTGAATGCAAACAAAATCTTTGCAATTCTTCACGTGAATAAATAATTTATTTAGTAAGAAGCGATTCAATTGAATTTATTCGATCCCTTTTGCGCCACACTTCTATGAATATTAAATTATATGCTACGTTGCTGCGTATTTATGACCTTTCAAGTTCACTGAAATGGAATATTTGCTATTTGCATATTTGTTATTCCTATTTATCATTCCTATTTATTATCAACTATACGGATAAGTTAGATAAAGATTAATAAAAGGAAGAAAAAAGGAATAATAATTCTAAGAGAAAATTCTTTCGTACTCAAAAATTTGCTGATATATTTTAATCATATCAGTTATAATGTTATCATATGAATAAACAATATGAAGCGGAATGTAACTGAATCATTCTTCCTCATATATTTACATTTGAATATGTTGTGGAATGCATCCGATAATATATAATGCCGGAAGTAGAGAGGACAATTGATTCCTGTGACAATATAAATCAACACTTGCAACAATGAATATTTTAATATTGCTATAGCAACATAATCGAAATTCATTAAATGTATTGTGGAAATATTTCCTTCTAAAATATCCACTTGTAATAATTTAGTTTGAGAAAATTAAACTGCGTTATTTTCATTTTTGTTACAGCTGCAAAACAGTTTTTAGATGAAACGCATTAATTACTTAGTGCGATCTGATATGACCTAAAAGTGGACAATAAGAAAAGAGTGATTAAGAAAAGAGAGAAAAACTAAAGGAGAAATAAAAGGTAAGTAATCGGAAACTTTAGCTTTATTACTTCACCTTAGCCAAAACGACTATTCATTCAAAGTTAGTTAGATCATATTCGTCATCTACAATCTTTGGAATTAATGTTTTAGCTTTATTAGCCAAAAGGACCAAAGGGACTATTCATTCAAAGTTAGTTAGATCATATCCCTTATCTACAATCTATGGAATTAATGTTTAGCAGTTTTATCACATCTTTTCTCATTGCTGACAGTATCGATGCTACATACAGCAACTCAGAAATGTTCAAAGAATGATTTTATAGTGATTTTCTTTCTTGATATATTAGAGAAATGATATGAAATCTAGAAAATTTTTTATGAAAATTTAATGGAATTAAATTTATCTGTCAATTTTAATTATTAAATAAAAATTAATATTTCAAAAATTATGCTAAATTTTTCTATAAAAATTAAATTCCCACATTTTCAAACTAAAATATTAAAAGTTTGAAGTCAAATTTCTGCACGAATTTAGTATTTTTACGACATCTTACAAGATTTTTTACAAAACAAATTGCATAGCTTAAGCCAAAAAAGTGTTATCAGATACAATTATCCTTCATTTGCTACATCACTTATTAACGAGAAACTAATCACTAAATAATGTGATCAGGTGATTTTAGATTACCCTTCTACTGATCGCGTAGCCTGGCAGTTAGTGATCATTTATTGTATGTAACCCTAACCCAACAAGTCGTTGGAATATATCAAAAAAGAAATCCGCTTGTATTTCCACTTCCTGTTTTGTTGTTTCCAGTGGGTAATTTCCCATTTCGCATTTTGCACAAATAAATAAATTATTTTAATAATGACAGGCAACCTTGAATAGACAAACAGTCATTGTTTGTTTGAAATGTATTATACCATCCATCTAAATATTATATCCTCAACGATTAATAATTGTAAACATTGTCTGGGTAAAGAGCAGAGTGGTACCAATTACATTTGATAAGTACCATAATGATGTCAAAAATTGTAATAATTCAAAAAGTTTAATTTAATGAGATTAAGTACCTAATCAATAAATTATAGAGTAAAATCAATGAAATACATTTTCAAATTTTTATATTCATCTTCAATCTTTCAATAGTATTTTGAAAAGGTAAATCAAAGCAGTCAGTCGTTTTGCAAAAGTTCCAAAATTAGCGCAGCTATCTGTCAATAATGAAATGTTAATAATTAATTATTTGCTCAAAATTTCTATTTTTGTTAGAGCTAATAAAAAAATTCAAAAAATATTTAAAATCACAAAATAATGCAAAATTTTACCATTTTTTCGCGCAGGAGATCGAAATTTCGTTGTGCACTTCGATTAGAATCACCATGATCATTATTATTATCATTATTATTATTATTATTATTAATTGCTATCCTCATTTCTGATTCTGGCTTATTTGTTGATAACATTGAGCACTGAGATGGTTGAGATGAAACAGTAGTTGTTGAGGCAGTGATGAAGGATGAACATGAGGATAGCGGTAAATGAGGACTGTCAAAGTTAGATGTTACCGGTGTACATTTCCGGTTGTTTTGAAGCCATGAATCAGCGATTAATGAAGATGATTTTGATAGATTTACTTCAGCTATGGGAGATACAACATTCACGGATAAAACTTCCGTAGATCCAAAACGGGTATCATCTGTTTTAGGAGAAGTGTTTGATTCGGAACAAAATGTGCTTGTTCCTAAACAAGATAAGATTGCGTCCGATTTGAAAGAAGAAGGCGCAACATTTTTAGAAAATCTAGAAAATGCTCTGCTACCACCGTATGATGGAAGAATTTCTGATCCTCTTAACATAAGATCAGAACCAGAGTTTGCCAATATATGAGGAATTTCATCGTCCAAATTACAAAAACTTTTCGTTTTTTTACAACGCTCCAAACGTTTCAAACGATTGGCGCAAAATCGCCGATAATCCGCCAAATTATCGTCCATTTTGTCCTGCAATTTAGTGGTGGTAACTGTTGAAATCTTTATCGATCACATATTTCTTTGCACAAAAATTTGCAAATTAAAAAAAAGCATGATGTTGCAAAACGTTGCAAAAAATTAACAACTAACAGCAAAAAAAGCTATTACTATTATTAATACGATGTTGAACTTCGCTAGAAACTACTTTTAATAATAAATTTAAAAACTATAAAATTTGAATTTATTAAGAGAATGGAAATGGTTTCGATCCGATTAATTGTAAAGGTAAGAGTGAAAGATGAAAGGAATGTAATTAAATTGAAAATATAAAAAAAAGGCTGTTATTATTTCAATTGTGGTAATCTATAATATTCCGATTTGATTTTAAATTTCCAAATATTCACGAGATATTCCATTTTTCGTCAATTTATAATTTTATTTTCCATTTTTACTCGAACAATTCTGCAAAGAATAATTTAATTTTTTAATAGCGAAATGCCAAAAGAAATCGTAATGATCGGATCGGGTAATGATCGGATCGCGTGATGATTTATTTTTGACGAGTGATAGTAAGTTGGTAAAGCGGAATGAAAGCATTGCCATTTCACGATGAAATAACTGGGTACGAAAAAAAATTCTTGTTGAGTTCAATTTTACAAGCATTAAAGCAATTTATGATTGCTTCTTGATATTTTGTTCTAAGCGTTTTAATGGCATGTAAATATTTCAGAATGTCTGATCTGTTTCGAAATAAACATCGAAAAAATTTAGTGAAAGTTCAAGGAAAACTTGTGATATCTGCTCTATCAGATCAACAATCATTACCGATCGGTATATATTTAATCACATCAGTGCGCATTTAGTCGTTCCTATCCTCCTTGACATCATTTGTTGAAGTATTTTGCAAATTATTAATCTTATCATTTAGGAAGCGTTAGATTATGTACAATAAGATTTACGAGAATTATCGAAACCGGATAAGAAAGAAAGAATTTGGAATAAATAACAGAGAGAATATTTTATAGTTTAAGCGATAATCGATGATAAATTCAATTCATTCGTTTTATTCATTTGTTAAAATTTTCCTTCTGATAATAACCTAAATATTCCATGTCATTCAATTTTTCATTTCAATACGATACTCAAAAATCAATTACTTTTTAAATCTACATTAATTGCTACTCATTCAATTTCGAAAAATCAATCAAAAAAGTTCAACAAAAATTGAAACGGAAACGAACAAAATGATCAGTTCACAAACTTAATACGAAATTTGTTTCGGTTTTAATATCAATCACATTCATTGAACAGTAGCCGGACAAAATGATCAATTCAAAAACTTAATACGGAATTTGTTTCGGTTTTAGCATCAATCACATTCACTGAATAGTAGCCGGACAAAATGAACAATTCAAAAACTTGATACGGAATTTGTTTCGGTTTTAACATCAATCACATTCATTGAACAGTAGCCGGACAAAATGATCAGTTCAAAAACTTAATGCGGAATTTCCTTCAGTTTTAGCATTCACATTCATTGAATAGTAGCCGGAATGATGAAATTTCAAATAAATGCGATAAAAAGGAAAGGTCAAAAATTCGATAAAAAGGGTCGAAAGGAAAAAAGAGAAGATAGCAAAAAATATATATACGAAATAACCTGCAGCAGAACAAGTTTCCAAATTCATGAAAAATAACGAGAATGAAAATTTAAAGAGTGAAATATAAAGCTGTCTAGAATGAATTTTAAAGAGTGAAATATAAAGCTATCTTGAATGATCAGTAAGACATTTTCATATATATCTAAATTTTGAGTTAGAAGAAAAGAACAATTTCATATCTTCCATTTGAATTATATTTTAAATTTCACTTATTACTTTTCTCAATAATATTTTCATCTTTCTTTAACATATACATTTTCTAGCAAAGTATTCATTCTATTTGTATAAAATGAAGCAATTGAAATTTTATTTCATATTTCAATTTTATATCTTCTCTGTTAATTTCACCCTGAAATGATTTCCTTTGTATATTCGTTGTAATTTTATAGTTGAAGAATTTAAGATTATATAAATATAGCAAATGAAGAATTTAAGATAGCAAAAGCATAATAAATATGAGAAAGCATAAAAGGATACGATAACGAATGATACGATATAATCTAATACAGTAAATTTTTTAAATAATTTAAATTACCAAAGATAGATATAAAATGAAATTAGCAACAGTAAGTGATAATATATATTATATTTACTGATCAAAATAATAATATGAAATTTTAGATGAAAAAGTAAATAAATGAAAGAAATGTTTATCAATGCATTAATGATAATAATAATAATAATGCAGCCAGCATTATCAGCATATATCATCCATTTATTATTATTATCACCGAAATATGAAGAAAAATTTTTACCACATTAAAATACTATTCATTCAATCATAAAAGATTGGAATGAATTATAGGAGATAGAAGAGGAATAAAAATAAAGGACATTTGATAGGAACGGTGAAGAAGATTTATTCATCATCAAACGGGTTTCTTCAAGGGAAGGGAAAATTTCAAGAGGGTTTTCGATAAAATGGTTCATTCATCATTTCTATGCTTCTCTTTCTCTCTCTCTCTCCCTCTCTCTCTCTCTCTCTTTATACAACCTAAAATGGATGAAAAACCTGATATCTACGATAGCAATATTTGCATTGACGTTATTCGTCAATCGTTCCATAACTGAATGCATGTTATATTCACATATTTACAATCTCTTATATTTTATAAAATGAATTATCATTTTCTCACAAATGAATCAATTAAAAGTAACTTTTCTTTTTAATAGCATTAATTAAATGAAATTAATTCGTTTTTTTTTTTTTTTGTTTGTTTCTAAATTTCTTTTATATTTACCTGCAGGGTATATTTCATTTTAAGATGAAAATAAACGTTTGTAATAAATAATAAACTTCAATGAAACGTTTGAAATTAATCAATCCATTTTTTTTTCTTGATTTTTCAACATTTTATCTGTTTTTGAAAAATCGCACATTTTAATAGTTAACATTTTTGAATAAAGAAATATATTAGTAGTAATTTTGCTCATATTTTAATGATAAATGTAACAACGATCATTTAATTTGTAATGATTAAATTGATTGATAATTAACGAATAGCAATTAACGAGCTACTAATTTAGTAGCATCAATTAATTAATCGAATTGATAAAAATAATAATTTACAGTTGCTTGATAATATCAAGTTTTCATCGAATAGCAATTAACGACTACTAATTTAGCAACGATTAATCAATCGATTTTGATAAAAATAATAATTCACAATGATAAAGTTTATTTTCGATTTTCAGTTTCATCGAATAAATTTATAAATAAAAATTAAATTTTCCTTTTTTTAAATTTTTTAATTTCTCTTCAATAACGATTTTTTTTTTGAAATAAAATTTTATCAAATCTTTTATCAATTTTGCTTGCAAAATATTAATTAAAAGCTATTGTTGAAGAAGAAGGAATAAATAAGGATGGCAATAATTAATTAATTTACATTACTTATATTAATGTTTAGAAATTTGTTTAAACAATATCACAAATAATTAATTTATTAATTAATTATTTGTGATATTGTTTAACATACTGTGATATTGTAAAAAAAGATATTCTAAAATTTTAATAATAAGGACAATTTCAACAATATTTAAATTTAAGAGAGAGAGGGAGGGAGAGAGAGAGGGAGAGGGAGGGAGAGAGATTATTGAAATCGGCTCAAATGGATCATTTTGCTGATAATAGAATGTTTGAAATGAATTTGATATTGTAGGTGATAATTATGCATTATAAACAAATTTAATATTGCTGCACTAATAATTATTGAGAACAGAAAATATGCCAATGAAATTCATTGAATAATAAATACTTAAGCAATTAGGAGATTAGAAATTTGAAGATAGAAAATGAAAATATCACAATTGTAATTGTTATCACAGTGATAAGAAAAATGAAATAAAAATGATTATTTGCTTAACCTTTGACCTCTAGTAGTTTCAAATGTGCTTCTAACGAATGAGAGAATATGAATCCTTATAATGATTAAACAAATACAATATACATATACACATATACAACACATGCATACACGCACAAACACACATACATACAAATGCACAAACATACACACGCATACACACGCGTACACACGTATATCACGCACTAAAGGTAATGTATTTGAAATATATTAATAATTATTAACAATAAAGATTTTTCTTTTCCCAATGATAAATTTATATTGGGAAAAGGATGATAATACAAACAGTTAGAAAGTATTATACTATAAAATAATTTCATAGACAATTTTGTTTTTTTAATTTATCAAATAATTCATAAAAATGAATTGTATATTTTGAAGAGAGTAAAAAATATTATTTTATGTGATAAATTTGTAAAAATTTCAATTATCAAAAAAAAGTTTAACGAATCATAAAAGACGATTAATAATAATAATAATAATAATACTTTAACAGTGTAGAAAATTGTTGAGAGAATGTCCAAATGTGAAGAGTTTGGAAAGAGAAGTGACAACAGTAGGAAGAAAACATTGTTCATCCTCTTATTGAATTGATATAATAGGTGGAAGATTGATAGATGGAATGGATATATTGGCCTAATGGATTGCATCTCTTAACAGCTGGACATAACAACCAATCCCTATCCTCCCTTTTACAACTCTTTCTCCCATCTGGTCATTTTATTTTCAGTAAGCTAATAATCATTATCAGTGAAACAAAATAAATTTAAATGGGGATTATTTTGTTTTTAAATTTTGCCCTATAATCCATAAAATGATACCAAAGGAGAGAGATTCGTTGCTGCAATGTTGTTGTGTAATATTTGCATACAATCAACACTCATTAAATTAATTAGTGAAAATTTCGCTTTTTTTTGAAATCATCTGAAAGCAAAAACAAACCGACAAACAAACAAGTAAATAAATGAATGAACAAAAATGTAAAGAGAGGGAGAGA